TCCTCCAGTTTTCACACCTCCTTCCTCCAAATCTAATCCCGCTTTACACATAATATTTTCAGCATGCAAGTTAAACAGATAGGATGATAAAATGCAGCCATGCCTGACTTCCTTGCTAATTGGAAACCATTCTGTTTCCCCATACTTCGTTCTCAGACTGCAGTTTATATGCAGAGAGAGCATGGACTACTGTGGTGTAGTGAATCAAGTGCTGGACTAGGATTCAGGAAAGCAGGTTTCAAATTCCCACACAACCATGGGGCTCTTTTAAGACGCATCATATTCTCTCAGCCTAAGAGAGCAACACCAAAGCTTCTCAAAATAAATCTTGGCAAAAAACAGAAACAAAACATTATGACAATGTCACCATGAGCCAGAGCTGACTTGAAGTAACATAATTATAGAGGGAATGACCTGAAACAGAGGAGGAAGTGGACAAGTCAATCAGTGCTAACATGACAGCCTGTGGACTACAGCTTGTTGAATTCTACTGTGTTTTTCCCATAATGGGAATCTGTTGCTAGTGAGAACTGTAAACAAGGGAGCTGGAAGAGCTTTTTAAAACATTATGCTGCAGGGGAACAGTACCAAATCCGAAAATATGTGGGCGTGTATCAAAGGGCATGAAAGTCACAAGGTAGTATTTTTAGGTTTTCACAGGGAATTCTGTATAGTTTGGAGGCATAAACAAGAGTTGAATACACCCCTTCTGAAGTCTCTGGGATTATAGAAGGATAGAGATGGAAGAGACCACAAGGGCCATCCAGTCCAACCCCATTCTATCAAGGAGAAATACACAATTAAAGAACCCCCAAAAGATGGCCATCCAGCCTCTGCTAAAAAATTTCCAACAAAGGCGACTCCGCCATACTCTGAGGCTGCATATTCCACTGCTGAACAGTTCTTACCTGAATATTACATCTCCCTGAACATTTCCTTTCCACGAGACGTTAGTTTCCAGTATGTATTTCTTTAATCATTTTTCCCATCCAAGTTTACTAACTATAGTTCTTGGAACAAACAAATTGGGTTATCATTTCTGATCAGTGAGATTCAGGCCAGGCTTATGTTTTTGAGCACTGAATAGAATATTTATGTTAAGTGTCCTGGCTTGCCATGTGAATGAGCTAACACCATACAACATAATTCATTAACAGAGTTGAAGAGAAAACAAGGACTTATTATGGGATTTTGTGGGGGCAAGCGTGTGTGGTTTGCCAAAGGTTACCCAGTGAGTTTTCCTGAAAACACTGCATACAGGTAGATCCAGTGACCCCCCCCCCATTCTTGTTCCAGATCATTTTTCTTCCTACGTCCCCTGCCCCCACCCCATGAAATCATTCTCAGAAGCAAGGTGCATTCAAGGAAATTTGAAATTTCACTGGCCTGCTAAGGATTTGGTGAAATAAATATATTGTGCTATATTTATTTCCCAGAAGGAAAAAATATGGTGGTGATTTCTGTTTCCTGGATGCTTGTTTTCCTTCTTAAATAACAAACTCTAAATATCTTGCAGATATAGAGGGTGTTTCAAAATGATGGACTCAATTTCTAAGCAGTATATTTCACAATAGCAATGTGTTACAAGTACACAAAAATTTACAAACAGTTAATGAGTTATCAAGTTTATTAGAATTTCATTCATAGGCTGTTCGTGGGTGCAGAGTTATAGTGATTTCAAATTGGATCCATCACAAACACGCACATATTGCAAACAAAAAAAGCAATGTATCATGTAAAGCAGAAGCAAGCATCGGCAATTCCTAACAACCATTAGGCTGTTAGGAATTGTGGGTGTTGAAGTCCAAAACACCTGGAGGGCCGAAGTTTGCCCATGCCTGATGTGTGTGAATGACACACAGGGTGGGGTAGGGGTTGACATTGGGGCCTTTATGCCCAGACCCAAGTAGAAAGTGATGCAAATGGAATTGATGCCAACAAGAATCCGCGAAACAAAAAAATCACATGACAGAGATGTTGTTTTTTAAAAAGTAGATTCCTGTGTTTTGTAACCATGATCAAATGTCACTGTATTCTTTTCTGCTGGCTTTCCCAGCAGAAAAGAGCAGAACATCCTTTTATTGGATTGTTCCTCTCACTACTTTCTATAGGCAGATGAAACAGTATCCCCAGATGAGGGAGCAATGCGTAGAAGCCAGTCATTCCCTGATTACCACCCCATTAGAATACATTGGGCTTTTGCATTACTTCAGCCATCACTCTGGCCTACCTACTAATATTTTATCTTATTACTAACTTTGGCTGCTGCCAAAAGGTAATATTTTCCAATTTCTTTCATTGCTACCTCTCCCCTCACCATCATTCCCCAGAATTATTGAATGATCGGAACCAGTGCAGGTAAGACAAGGATCACAAAGTCAGAGGAGCAAATCGCTGGCTTTTCCACCTGAGCTGAAATGTTCATTCAGCTAGCTAGAAGTAGACTTGTTCACACTGTTAGACAGCCTCAAACTAAAGAGAGTCATCATAAGATATCAAGCAAAAAGGGATGAGAATATAGGCACAGTAGCTGTTCCGTGGCCAGAAGGCCTTGCCACTAGTTGCACTGCTATCCTGAGTGATGGCAAAGATCTGTAGGGAGAAGGGCAAGGTGATATGAATAGGATGGCCTAGTTTTCTGAACTGACATACATCGAAGGACTCCATCCTTCTGCTCATGTGGGGTCATATTTGTCATCCCAACGCAGAATCATGCTTAGTGATTAAGCAGAGCAGCTGAGAGACTACAGATATCCCTGCAAGGTGATAAAGACCATTCTGGCATCCAGAAGGCCATCAACCAACAGGATCTGTGGAAATACTTTCAGAACATTTTGGAGATTGCTTACATGTAAAAATATGAACCTCCTGAAGTTCAACATATCCAACCTGTTCCACAGGAAGGCATAGACTAATGTTTGAAGCCTAGCATAGTGAAAACTGATTGCTGCCATCACGTCACACAAAGCTCACCTTCCCATACGAAGATTCCTGAAAGAGCTCTCATTTTTCATCAGAGAACCTCCAGTTGATAATTATGCTGTGCTAAAGGCATCCTACCCTCATTTGAGCCACTACGAGAGGCCTCCCTAGACACATGTCCAGAAACTCCATCATCATATCGGCATGCAGGGTCTTAGAATTGGCGCTCTAGAAACACAAGGCGTTATCAGGCCCAAATCTATAGTGCTCTGTCTGGACCTGACTATCATCCCAAAGCAGGACGGTAGCCAGAAAAAAAATTCGGGGGGTGGGGCAGGGGGTTGAATTTTTTTTTAACAAATCATGAGAAGCAGTTCCATAACACAAAATAATTTAAATAGTATTATTCATTCTATATTTTATTTTATATAATTAAATCAATTTTCTCGTCTCCTTCATGGGGAACTTCAAATCCCTCCCATGCCTTAGGCTTTTCCTACCAGTTGTGGGTGGGCCAACTTGGTTGCTTCCACTATATCAGCTATTGCTGCAAGTAATGACTGTGAATAAATTGTCAAAATTTGCTTGAGATAGTGCTTGTAGTTCTGGAGAGACTTGTTTGCTTCTCATAGACTTAGCAGGGGGATTTGGTTAACCAGTTAAAATTCATGACTTACCCCCCCCCCCCCCTTGGCTATATCCCTGTCCCAAAGTAACCTCATAGGGTGCAAAAAGTGATTCTCCCATCCTTCTGTCCATGACTGATCAAGTACCTGGTACATTCTAGATGTGCATAGAGCAGCAGTTTTGAGTTTTGGGTGCCCTATTTCTCTCCTTCTGGCTCAAGTAAAAGAGCAAGAAGGTTTTTGTCTCCACTCTCAACAGGTGGAACAAATCATACATCTTGACCTGCTATGATATGCTAGATGTTATGGTACCAGATGGCATGTTGCCCATTCCTCTAGAAGAATGACCTCATCAGCAGCACTGTCTACCAGTGCTCATCTGTTAAAAGCATGTTGGATGGCAAAGTGGGAATCAGTTTGTAATGTTTGAGTTAGCTGAAGCTGCTTTTGGCAGGAGGGTATGGCAGCAAGTAGTTGTGCCACAGGACACTGGATTTTAGGATTACCCCTCTCTGGTAGGGAAACTCTGACATATCCATTCCCAGTCAACAGACATGCTAATTGTAGATAATGGAGGGTTAAATTACTGAGTTGCTGAACTTGTTGACTGAAAGGTTGACAGTTTGAATTTGGGGAGCGGGGTGAGCTCCTGCTGTTAGCCCCAGCTTCTGCCAACCTAGCAGTTTAAAAACATGCAAATGTGAGTAGATTTATTGTTGTTTGATGTTTGTTCATTTTGGCAACGAATGTTTGCCATTTTGTTCTTTTATCTGTAAACCATCCTGAGTCCCTTTGGAGAGACAGGGCTGCATATAAATAAAGTATTATTATTATTATTATTATTATTATTATTATTATTATTATCAGTAGGTATTTCTTTGGTGGGATGGTAATGGCACTTCATGCAGTCATGTTGTTCACATTAACTTGGAGGCATCTACGGACAACACCGGCTCTTCAACTTAGAAATGGAGATGAGCATCACCACCCAGAGTCAGATACAACTAGACTTAATGTCAAGGGGAACCCTTTTCCTTTTTATATGAAGGATGCTGGGTTGGGGAAGTCTGGCCTGCATTATAATATGGGAAAGAAATATATCTCAGAGCTATGCCATAGTTTTCACACAAAGAGAAATAAGTACTTGATACCACTAAGTAGTGAAGTGGGAATCAAAGTGATGCTGTGAAAACTATTCAACTATTCTCAAGCAGCTGAAAAGAATTTGCTTCTTGGACACATAGTTCTGCTAGGAAGCCCAGATGTCAGGCCTTGTTTGGCAGGGGGAGTAGGGCTGCTCCTGAAAGAACAAGAGCTGCCTGCTGCTGAGTTATCAGTTTCATTCACTTCTGTTTCTGTTCTGTGTGTGCACATGCTCTGTCCCCTCTCCGAGCAGCCGCCTGGCCAGGTGGGGGTTAATGCCTGGGCTCTGTGCCATGGCAGGTGGGCGGTTCTAAAGCGACCAGCCTCCTCTATGGAAGGCAGCAGAGAAGCTCCGCTGAGGAGAAGGAGAGGAAGGCCAAGACACAGCCCCTTTCCCTGACAGGGCTGAGCTCCCCAGCACATGGGCTCCTGGCGCACTGATGGTGCATCACAGGGTTTGCATTGGCAGCGGGCGGAAAAAGCAGGGCGGCAGCCTTTGGTAAGGCACTGTGTCTGTGTGCTGTGTGTGTTGCAAATGGGGATTCTGTTTTTGCTTGATGGATCTGAAGCACTTTGATTTGGCCCCTCTCTGTGCTGATGATCATCTTGCACAACTGCATTCCTGAGCAGCATGTGCCTGTGCCTTCTTCATGCAAAGCTGCATAACTCTGTCATTGCTGTCATAGCCATGCTTGGTGCCACGCGCCTTTCATTTCTGTCACCGCTATTCTTTCCTTTGCCTGCTTGCCTATTTCATGTTCTCCCCATTGCTTATTAACGAGATGGAGGGTGCTGTGTGGATGCTTCTCTCCTTTGAGCCCATCTTTGGTACTTGTGGGGCACAGAGATGCCCCAAAGAAAAGGGTGACAAGGTGAAGGGCAGATGCAGTGAATGTTAGTATCATTTTAGGAATTGGCTGGGTTTTGTACAGAAATCTCTATTCAGCTCATCCCAGAAACTCCCTTTCCCACTGCTGTCCAATCTACTATGGAAATGGGCCCCTCACCCCACTACATGGGAGGAAGAGGCAGCATCCTTCTAAACAGGGTGGAAAACAGGAGCACCAAGTATGGTTGTGACAGAAATGGCAGACTTATGAGACTTATAATGTTCTTCTGCGAGGATGTGTAAGGTTCCAAAATTAAGGCAGAACTAGTATTTCCTGGAATGCACTCTGTGTAAATATAGCTATTGGGGCCAGAGACTGTTCCCCCATTATACCTCCCGGCAATGGGGAAAGAGAGTATAGAGCAATGGCAGATAGATGATATTTCAAGATAGTGTTTTCGGTAGCTTGCTGAAAATGCGAGTTTTTTAGTAGCAGGGATATAAAACCAAGATGGGTCAAGGGAACTCATCTTGTGGATCAAAGGTTAGGGCCAACAGATGAGCTTCAAGGGGGAAAAAAAGCAGAGGTTCAATATCTGAGCAAATATTACAGGGAGTTGAAGTGAACAAATAGTTAATGTCTTTGGGCCTTTTTATTTTACTTCTTCCTAGGATGCCTGAGTATAATTTAATCTCGTCTATTAGATCAAGCTCCAGGAGGGCTGGAGAACATTTTGATTAACAGTAAATGGAATGACAGATAATTGATTTATTTTGTTTTTTCCTGTTTTTACAAGTCTTCCTGTATGCCTGCATTCACTAACCTTGCACCGTGTGGCTGTGTTGGACTCTAACTCCTATCATATCTAACTTACCATACTAACTAGTTCTTACTGGAATTGTAGTTTAAAAACATTATTCTCTCCCTTGATGAAGACAAGTGCAGAAGACCAAAACCGTCTTTGGGAGTGAGATAGGATTCCTGTTTCAGCTGATATGGCTTTTCTCTGACAGGAAAACACATTATTCCAAATTGCATTTTCCTCACCCAGAAGCTCAGGCAGATAGGCTTGAGAAGGTGTCTGATACCCATTCACCAAAATCTGCTGGTCTGTGAAGAAAGAAGAAAATGTTAGTATCAGAAGCTTTGTCCACCCCACTTCCTGAATTTTAATAGCAGAAGATACTGGATCTGTGTTTGCTTGATCTTGTGAGAAGAGAGTGACATTTAGAACAGGGCTCTCCAGAAGGTGATCACCCCTTTCATTCTTCTTCATTATTGGATAGCCTGGTTATAGAAAAAGGGAATTTGAGTCTAGTATGTTTGGAGGCTTTGATGTTGTTCCTGGACTCTGTATGAAAATCTAGCTTCTGTAACTAAAATTTGGACAATTCCACAAGTGACAAAGTGGCATGGGGAGGGGAATGAGGTGCCTCGGATTCCGGCTGGATAGAGTTTGATTCAGGAGTGGCAGCTGTTTTTAGTGTAGAGCTCATGTATGGGCTCATAATCAGGAGCATGCGTGTGTGCAGTTCTGGAGAGGTGTACAGTTCTCTCTCAGGATGGATGTCCATCTACCGGCGGTAATTTAATTGTGTGTTCCTGCATGGCAGGGGTTCGACTGGGTGACCCTTGTGGTCTCTTCCAACTCTGTGATTCTATGATTCTAGGTCTACTCCTTAATCAGAGGAAGACCTTGACTGGGATCATCCTTGCAATGTACATTCAGCAGACAAAGTACCTGAGTCTGAAACCTGAACTGTTTCCTTTCTTTTGAATCTGATTTGAGCCACTTCTTAGGCAATGAGAGCAAGGGCAGTGGTGCCGATGGTTACTTATCATTGCTATTGTAGTATAATAGAATGAATGAGACAAATTTCATAATCTGCAAGTTGGCAAGGAAATGTTCATTTGTCAGAAGCATTTTGAACATGTATTGTCAAAGTCTTTCATGGCCAGAATCACTAAGTTTTTCAGGCTGTATGGCCATGTTCCAGAAGCATTCTTTCCTGACTTTTTGCCTGCATCTATGGCAGGCATCCTCAGAGGTTGTGAGATCTGTTGGAAACCTGGACACAGCATATTATTTGAGAACACAGAAATGCTGGACTATAATAACATCTACCATGTCAGACTACACAGAGAAGCCATTGAAACCCACAAGCATGTGGACAACTTCAACAGAAAGGAAGAAACCATGAAAAGGAACAAAATCTGGCAACCAGTATTAAAAAAAACCCTCTAAAATCATAACAGTAAATAAAGATGGGAGCTCCAGACAAGAAACAATCAGGGACAGCTAATCATATCTCAACAAAGGATGCCCCCAGGCAGGCCTGTAGCCAGGATTTTGTTTCGGGGGGAGCTGAGTTTGATTCGGGGGGGGGGGGGCTGAGTCTGAGTGAAAGAGGGTCTACCTTAGCAAACCTTTTGTATTGTTACCCCAATACCCCCATGCATATGGGATATATGGAGCATGGTGATCAGATCATGATATGAATAAACATAACAGTTTAAATAATGTACCAGTAAGGCCTTCTCGCGGACCACCATAAGAATTTGGGGGGGGGAGGGGCTCAAGCCTCCCAAGCCCCCCCCCCCCCCCCGGCTACATGCCTGCCCCCAACAGACCTCACAACCTTTGAGGATGCTTCCCATAGGTGCAGGAGAAACATCAGGATAGAATGCTTCTGGAACATGGCTATACATCCCAAAAAACTTACAGCAACCTGTTTTGAACATGCTAAGGAGACACTTCATCCTCTTTTCTGTAGGATGAAAGATGTTTTCCATTAGGAAAGGAATTCAGCATTTATCTAGATATGCTCACATTTTTATTTTATTTTTTGAAGAAGAGTGACTGGATGGCCCTTGTGGTCTCTTCCAACTCTGTGATTCTATCAGAAGTGGTCCAGAGGGAGGTCTGCCACAGAGTTTGCTGTGTGGAAGTGGGCCTTCCTGTAATAGGACCCTGTGTATCTAATAAAAGACAACTTTTGTCGAAATTAGAACTTGCACAAAGCTATACTGGTCAATTAAAGCCTAGTAATTGGCAGGTCAAATGCCAAATGGAGATACCTCTTAAAGGGCTGTGTGTTGCCCCACCTGCCCTGCCTGTTGGGAGCAGGGCGTCTTGCTGCCTCTTTAAGAGCAGCCTCCTTTGTATGCTGTAGCTGCAGTAAGCTTGGCTCTGGGCTCCTGCCCTCGTGTCCAACTGCAAAGCAAACGAAAAGGCGCTTCCCTTGTTTGGTTTCTCTGTTCCAGCAGCCACACAATGGAGCCTTGTTGTGTCAGGAGATCTGATCTCTCTTGAGTAGGCTCAAGGCTGGGGCTAAGCTTCACACCCCAACCCTGGGTTTGCATTTCCATTAAGGACCACTTTCCCCTCTCCATTCACATGTCAAGAAAGCTTTTAAAGGGCAAAGGTGCCTCCTCCCAATTCTGCTCTACAGGCTGGCCAGGATGATGGTTCTCCCATTATGGCTTGAGTGGTATTTATATATGAGAACTGTGTATCTGTCCCTATTCTATACTGACCTCTAGACTCTGTCCCATCTGAAGCCAACATAATCAGCAAAAATCCTGTCTCTGTGCAGGGACTAGTATGTGATGGAAGGCAGCGTTGCTCAGATTCCTTCATTGGCATTTGGAAAATGTCTATCTCTAAAATGTCTCAGGCAGCTACTGGGTGAACTCTATGCAGTCATGCAGGTGTAGGCTAGCATTCTGGGTTCACTACTGCTTCCTATTCCCTGCTAGCCATATCCGTGTGCTATGTGGGACCTGCTAGTCACTCAGTAGGCATTTTGCTTCTTCCTAGAAAGTTCTGGTTGCTTTGGTCTCTCTAGGACAGGTAGGAGCAAAATGAGGCCCTCTCACTGTTGCTGAACTTACGTTCCCATCATGATTCCTTATTGGCTTTGCTAGATAGCATATTGGATTTGCTCACATCTGCAGTAAGTATTCAATTTTGTTTATGTTTCAGTTTTCAAAAGGGCTTTGAATGCCTTTCATAGGGCAGCAAAGCCTATATTCAGCCTCACCCATTTACCTTCTGAAGATGTGTGCACAGGCCTGTAGTTTGGCCACCTTGTTTTTAAAACTTAACATTAGAGAACTGTTCTAGTAATCGTATTTAGGTATTAATTCATTACTATTTTTTCTCCCCTAAATCATTTCACAATATTGCAGTGGTCAAACCCATAAAATACAGCAATGTTAATAAAAACAGTGATAAATTAACAATACTATATTAAAAATGCTAGGAGTGATTTCGTTGATGAGATCCTACAGAAGTTGATCATACGTTAGTTTTTCTGGTGCTTTAAAAATAGACTTTTTGCAAGAGTAGCCCACTTCCAACAAACTTGCCTGAATTTTCCATTGCTTCCTCATCTCTCCTGGTGTGATATTTTCAAAAACATGTTCCTAAGTGTAGGCTCAAGGTCTGATACAAAATCACGCAACTGTCCAGCAAAAGACAGTGATGCTTCTCATGGTTTGTAATCTAATGCAGGACCCTGTAGCCTCGTTATGAAAACTTCAGTATAGCATTTCTGTTCTCTAGGTCCTAAAAAACATTGTGTATTAGAATTATGTTGTCTATAAGGGTTTGTCCTGCAAGAGGCAGACTGTGTTACCACACAGAGGCACTCATTGTAAGTAATCCTCTCTCTTTCTCTTTTCTTTCATTCCCTCACAGTGCCCAGCGACCTGACTCCTGAGGAGTGCCAGGAACTTGAGAATATCCGACGACGAAAGCAGGAACTGCTGGCAGACATACAGGTGAGTTGAGTCAAGGTAGAGATAACTGGCAGAAGAAAAGGTTGGGGCTTGGTGACAAAGCACATACTATATGTACATATAGAAGGTCCTAACCTCTCCATTCCCAAATAGTATTGGGAAAAGTGAAAGGCACCTTCTCCCAAAACCCTGAAGAGTTGTTGCCAGTCAATGTGGATAAGGAGCTAGATTTGGTATAAGGCAGCTGCTTACACAAGAAACCACACTACTGGGATTTTTGTGTGTCTCATTAGCATGGCAATACTTTGTGCCATCTTTGAGTCTTCCTCCATTCCTCTGGTCAAAGAAAGGGCAATGACTTCTCTGCCACTTCTAGGCGATCTAGAACCAGTTCATTATGTTTGCTCCATACCATTTGATTTTGAAACGTAACATTTTGCATTGCCTTTAAAAAGTGAAATATAAATACAGGAATGTTTTTGAGCTTGTATAAAATTCCTTTTTCTTGCCCCAAGTGATAGCAATCTGTTCCTCAGCATCTTGAATTGCAGCAAACCATTATTTTCTGTATTCCTCTATTTGGAAAAGAAGCACTCCTCCTGAAAGATTCTCTGCATGACAGCCTTGAGAGTCTACACAGCAGGGTCTTGGGCACATGTCACTACAGATCAATAAGGAGCCATGATTCAGGCCATTCCGGCAAGGGAAAGGAGGGGTGACATAATGGCCAGAGGCATAGATTAGCCAGTGGGATACTTTGATCTAAACATTAAGCTGGTGGGGAGCCCCCCCCCCCTTGCACTTCTAGCTTTAGCCTGTCAGATTGGTGCTCTGTATGGACCTGACACAGTAGAGGATATGACAATATAGTCTCTGCTCTTACAGTGCAACTTAACACCTGCCATCTACCTCTTCCATGCCTGCTAAGGTATCAGGTAACCACTAAAAGTGTGTGTTCTTCATGAAGGGTGTGCCTTCCAGAATAATGCTGAATAATGTCTCCTATTTGTTTCCCACTCATTGCATTCTTCATTGGCCAGTGAGATCCATGCACTTGGGTCTGGCTTCCTTTTCCTTGTATTGGCTTTCTTACGGGTCCTGTACTTGACAGGGATGGTCTTCAATCCCATCAACAATAAGTAAGGCAGGAGCAGCAGCTAATCATTGCCATATGCTGGCTGCTTCCTAATGAGATTAACCCAGTAATTGTGTTAGCCCCAGGGGCTCACTCTTCCTTCTGCCTTTCTTCCTTTCTAGAGGAGCTCAGTATGCCTCAGACTTGCACCCACAGCCCAGATCTATTACTGTCCCAGGGCAGTGGGTGCCTGCATCAGGCTTTGGCTGTCACTGATGACTTGTGAAACATCTGGCCTAGGGGACAGGTTTTTGCCACTTAAGTGGAATGGAGAGATATGTTTGTTAGATGTCTGGATGCAGCCCTACTCTCCTTTTTTTCATGCATCCCTTCAGTTGGGCCCTGGGCCCTAGCGGTGGTGTCTTGGCAAGACTGTCTTGTGATCTGTAGAAGGCAGTGAGGAAAATATTTATTTCCTCCCATCTCTTCTTATCTGTCTCCTCCAATCACTTATTACTATCCAGCCTGGATTAATGAGGTTGGGGAAAGGCACAGGGGTTAGATGAGGCTGGGAGTAATTTAGAACCTTTTTTAAAAAAATGCTGTTCCTTTCCTCCCTTCCAGCAAATTTTATCATTCATGTTGTTTTGTTTTCTTTGTTTTGTGCTCCCTACTCATCCAGCGCCTGAAAGATGAGATAGCAGAGGTGACTAATGAAATCGAGAACCTGGGTTCCACAGAAGAGAGGTGAGATTTCCTTCTTTTGGACAGATGGGGAGAGTGAAAATTGGGGTTTTGACTGCTTTATGAGATTGGATACTGATCAAAATAAAGCATACAGACTGCCAAAACCTTTATAACAGAGGATTGTTGTAGGTTTTTTGGGCTATATGGCCATCTTCTAGAAGCATTCTCTCCTGATGTTTCACCTGCATCTATGGCAGGCATCCTCAGAGGTTGCGACCTCACAACCTCTGAGGATGCCTGCTATAGAAGCAGGTGAAACATCAGGAAAGAATGCTTCTAGAACATGGCCATATAGCCCGAAAAATCTACAACAACCAAGTGATTCTGGCCATGAAAGCCTTCAACAATACTTGACAACAGAACTGAAAACAACACTGGCATGAATAGATATTGAGAGTCAAATATATCCACTGAAATGGAAATGTCCACTTTTTCAAGGAGGTCAGGGCAAAAACCATTGTGCCAACTGCAGGTTGCACTTAGCCCACTCTGTGCCTGAAGCAATGTTCAAAAGTGCATAAGCCATCACAAACAAGTGCTGCCATGCAGTTACACAGTAAAATATTTTGGCCTCTTCGATTTACTCTTATTTATCTTGTGGAATTGAAGAAATTAACAAAAATGTATTTCAAGTGTCAAAATGACTGGTCTGAGTGCTGGCTAGCTGTAGCGCTCAATGGTGTATGTAGCGGCATGGGCCTAAAAGCTCTCAGACTTCTCGTTAGCATTAATATCAACAAAGATTATTAGGTTCTGATCTGTTCCAGGGTGCACCTCTCTCCCACTTCATCCTCTCTCCCCAATTCTTCTGATTCTGGTCTTGTTTCCCATCTGGCATCAGATTCCTGGTCTCAAGCTGTTATGTTGAATGAGGACAGATGGAATCACCAGCAGATTAGGTGGCCTAAATTGTCAATGGAAACTGAACTGTGACGTCTCTTTCAATTACTTAGTATAGTTTCCCTTGCAATGTAGGCCAACCCAAAGGGCTTTTCCTTCTTCCCATGTCTTACTCAGTCAAGGCACCTGCAGTATTACCTAGAGACCTGCTTGCTAAATTGTGCCAGTTCCCTGACCCAGTCTCCATTTAGTGATAGGAGGTCTTCGAACATCAATCTATTCAGCTGGAGCTAAGAGAATGTATATTTTGGGGTGGGGAATATAATTATTTGTATTTCAGAATTTAAGCTTGAAAGTAAGAATAGAAGATGCACATTTCTCTGTGTGAGAGAGCAGTGGAGATGGTATATTTAGTCAGAGATGGAAAAGCAAGTGGTTGAACTCCTTGCTTGTCCCAACTGGAGGGTTGCTAATCCTATCAGTCAAGAAACATTGTGAAATTATTCCTTCTTTACCCTCTTCTCAGACTTTTAGAAATAAAAAAGACATAAGGAAGCAAAGGAATAAAGGGAGTTTTATACAGGATTTTTTTAAAAAAAATGTAGACCCCAATGAACATTTCTGTGAATGAGACAGGATAATCATAAATTATAGTACTCTAAAACATGCTTAAGTAGAGTCTACAGTAGATATGAGCAAAATGTGTCTTCTTGTGTCCTCTTTTGCTCCAAAATGCCTTCTAGGGGTTGCAGGCACACTTTTTGCCCCTGTGCCATTTTAAACCCTGAGAAAGTGAACTTTAGCTTCCTATTGTAAAAAAAAAAAAAAGTCCTCTCCTGGGCCTATAACTAGATGGGAGGCCAAAGAAATAATGAAATGTCCTTCCCCAATATGCAGTAAAAAGAATTTTGGGGCAAAACAAGTTTTAATATTTTTGTCAAGTCTACGGTATGTGTGGTGGTGGTGCAGTTCTCCAAGGTAATGCGCACACACATACACATTGTAATGCACGCACACACACACACACATGTACACACACACACACCTAGTCTCTTACAGTTGCCTATCTTACTCCACAAACTGTTCTTGGTGATGAAACTGGTGAGAGATTTCACCAAATCTTTTATGTCATTTAGGAAAACCATGCAGAGAAACAAGCAAGTGGCAATGGGAAGAAAGAAGTTCAACATGGATCCCAAGAAGGTAACTCGTGTGGGCTTTGCTGAATTTCTGGCAGCAATTAAGTTCTAGGAATCAGTGCAAGACCCTCCACTGCAGGCAAGGTTAAAGGATCTGGTCAAAACTGACATTTTTATTATGCCCCCCTCCCATTTTGTGCTGACATTTTTAGTATGTCCTTCATTTTGTGTAATTACTGGATAATCACTCTCCCTCTTTCCTCAGAAGTATTTGCTGTCTTCCTCCCTATTCAAGCATTTTCTTCCTGACTCAGGGAAAGCTAATATGCCAAGGCTATCCCCAAGACTCTTGGATGGACATTAAATGTTAAACCAAGCTCACCAACAAGTCATGTGTTACCTGCATCTTTGGGCAGACAGTCCTGGCTCATGCTGGAGAAGCCAAGATGACAGATTTACTCCTACAGAAAGAGTAGCATAGTGACTCCGATGTGAGTTGTGAACTACATAGTCCCTGGTTCAAATCTTCTCTCAGTCAGAACACTCCTCCAGTGTTCAGAGGCTGGTCATTACTCTCTTGACCCCAGATCACCTTCTTTGCACTGTTTGTAATATGGCTTTCCTTCAGTGTTATCTTAGGGACTGCAAAATAATGTATATTACATACACAGCTGTTTGAATTCCCCTCTATTGTGTTACATAGCATTACAAAGGTCTTTAATTCCCATACCTGTATCCAAGTGTCAGGGGAATCTAAAGGGATATCCTCTTTTTTCTGTTGTGCTACAGGGGATCCAGTTCCTGATAGAGAATGACCTCTTGAAGAACACGCGTGATGACATTGCCCAGTTCCTCTACAAGGGTGAAGGACTCAACAAGACTGCCATCGGTGACTACCTAGGTGAAAGGTAATTGAGTAGGAATGCTGGGCTTGACTTGAGGCACTCAGCCTTCTTTCACAGCAACTGTGTCTCTCCATCTTGATTCCTGTGCCTCAAAAACATTCAACGAGAAATCATCACATGAGGCATATTTAGAGAAGACATACAAGTTTCACTTGCTCTGCTTTGTGACTGCAGGCATTTAGATCAGCTGGAGCTTCTAGTATCCTTAGTGAGCCTACGGATTTTCTGTGGTTGAGTTATTTTTTGCTCATTCTGGTTGGGAGAAGGACTATGAAAAATGGCAAATGGGACTGTTTTTTGTTTTTGTTTTTTTTTTACTGTTTGTGGCTGCTGCTTTGTTCTTTCTGCAGCTGGACAGTGTTTGGCAAGGCTTTTCCGAAGCTGCCTTGATGCTGTTTAACATTTAGAGCTTTGCTCCAGCCAGCCTATGATCTTGGCCATGTAATGTACTGCTGGAAGCTTTTCAGGTGCTAAGGCACTTTTAAATATATGTTGATTCTGAACCTTTGTTTTTATTCTTGTAATGCTCATACCATCAGGGAAAGAGATTTCAGCTTAGTGGTGAGCCACAAGTCTTGTTCACGGAAAGTCCTATCTTCACTCCCTTGTCATTCTAACTGAATGGAACAAGAGATGGGGCAAATTAATAGCTGCAACTATGGACAGCCCTGTGGTCAGTGTAGTAGTACTGATCTAAGCAAATTCATAGTCCAGAATGGTGTAAACAGCTTCCTGTGATAAAGGAAGGAGAGAATAGCACTTGGTTGCAGTAAACAATGTCGATCAGCCTTACATAATAAGTAACTATATGCTACAGATGAATTCCTTACTTCTGTGTTCACTCTGTTCTTTTTCCTTCCTGTAGAGATGACTTCAATATCCAGGTGCTGCATTCATTTGTAGAGTTGCATGAGTTTACGGACCTCAATCTTGTACAGGCATTGCGGTGAGTGATGGCACAACTGTGGAGTAAAGCTCTGGCAATGGGGCTGCCCTGAAAAGATGACCAACAGTGTTTTGGGAGTAGAGCAGGGGGTTCTACTGTTTCGTACAGCTTGACCACTAAGGGGCTTATTTCTGTGACATCCTTGCTCACCGCCTTACTAGGACATGTTCTTGGTTTTTTTGTGGCTTCTACAGGCAGTTCCTTTGGAGCTTCCGGCTGCCTGGTGAAGCACAGAAGATTGACCGGATGATGGAAGCATTTGCACAACGATACTGTCAATGTAACCCTGGTGTTTTCCAGTCAACAGGTTTGTAACTTGGCATCTGACATTGTCCAGGCTATGATAGCATCAGGCACAACGTTCCTTAGGGTGCAGGTTTTTCTAAAAGGCTTATCGAAGAGTTGTCTTGGCCTTTACTACCAGATCCCCTGACTTGTTGCTGAGGAATGAAGAACAGCTCACGGGGGAGCTTTTTGTTAGCTTCTTTTGCAAGATCCTCTTTCTGTCACAACTAGGGTAGCTTGAGAGCCTATCTAGTCCCTAAAAAGTAAGGAACAACCCAAGAAATACTGGCTTGATTATGCTATTTAGAATATTTCTTATTTATATGATTTTGTGTTACCTTTAAATTTAAAGCAGCTTGGAGTAAATAAGTATAAAAACAATGCCACTTAGAACCAAAGAAGCCACTGAGATGGAGAGCCCATGCAGCTTTTTCTACCAGGAGGTTACTGCTATTGGGAAAAGCCTTCTTCCTAATGATTTCCCTCCCTCAGTTTATTTGGCAGGGAAACTTAGACCAGATAATAAAGTGTGGGCATGCATATGTGGAAGAAAACAGTATTTGTAATAGCTTAATTCCAAGCCCTTTGTGATATTCAAGCTTAAAATCTAAATTATATCTGGAAAAGGCCATGTGTTTGGACTTACTGCTTTATAATGGAATTTAAATGATATTCTATACCATATTTAATCCCTCCTGCCTTTTTATCTTTCTACCCCCTAGATACCTGTTATGTGCTCTCCTTTGCCATCATTATGCTGAACACCAGCCTGCATAACCCCAATGTCAAGGACAAGCCAGGTGTAGAGCGCTTCATTGCCATGAACCGTGGCATCAATGATGGTGGCGACTTGCCTGAGGAGCTGCTCAGGGTAAGCTTTGTGGAAAGGGACTGGGAATGCATTCTGAAAACAGAGCTTGGATGCTGGCTGGGGGAAAGAGGAGATGAGCTCATAGAGTGCTAGTTTATTACAGGCTAGACTCTTTGTCTGCTAAGCCAGCTGTTTGTCTGTCCAACTGCCAGAGTATCAAGGAAAGAGCTCTTATGCCTGCTGAGAAGTCAGGAACTGAATCTTCTGTATGCTGACCCTCTGCTCTCACTACGCAACTATAGTCTCTTCCCATCCTGCTAACCTGGAATTAGGAGCTGGGCTTGCAGAAACTTAGGAACCTGTGCAAGTGGAAATAAACTCACTTGTGTTTTTCTTGCCCCTGCCAGAATCTCTATGAGAGCATAAAAAATGAGCCCTTCAAAATTCCTGAGGATGATGGTAATGACTTGACCCACACCTTCTTCAATCCGGACCGGGAGGGCTGGCTTCTGAAGCTCGGTGGGTATATCTGCACAAAGCAAAGCCTGGGCCACAGGGAGCAGGGCTGCTGTTGCTGTGGCATGGGCTGCAGGGAAGCATGGAGCTCTGCAGGAGTCTGGTGATTTTTCATTGCATGGGTTTTGTGGCCACATACAGTCCAGAACGAAGTACCTACTACAGAACCAGGAAACTTCTGGTTTGGGGAGCTTATCCAACAAGAATGGTCTTGGTGGTGGTTCTGGCTAGTATCCTGTGGCTCTCTTTAACCTGTGTATGGTCAAACCAGTCTTTTATGGGAGTGGGTGCAGTGGGAACGATATCTCGGTTGAATGCGTTCTAGGAACAAGAAGCAACATCAGCTTTCCATTGGCTCCAAGATCATGAGTCACAACTGTCTGAGCAGAAGCTTGATTTTGACTATGGTGCCATGCTTCTCACTGTCACATTGCAGTCTAGCCTCTGGCATTGCCTCACGCATCCCACACACCGGCAGTGCATGCATGGCATCTCTGAGGCTTTCACTGGCCCTCCTTGTGCAGCACTTGGCCACCCTCTTCCCTTTCACTCAAGAGGTTTTTAGTCATCTTCCCAGGATTTGGCTGGAGTGAGTTCCCTGTCTGGTTGGTTTGTGTTTCCCTCCTTTAGGGCTCTCAAATCTCTTAGAATCTGCAAATCAAAACCGAAAACTCAAATCCTCTGAATATTCAAATTGGCTGTGTCTGAATCTCTAATCAAATGTAGCTAATTGAATTATTCATCTGTGAATGTAACCTTTCTGATTTTGCTTTGAGACTTTTATGAACAAAAAACAAAGCAGAAATTATGATTCTAAGCAGAAAGATGCACACCCTGTGCAGTTTGACAAATGCTGTCTGAGCTGAGACTGAGTTTGAATCCTCACATTTTTACTGCTTGCTTTCTGTTGTTTTCAGTCAAGGCATGAGAAAAAAAAAGAGTCCCATTTCTTCCACTTCTTTCCCTTTTAAATCCCCTTTTGGTAAAAATAGAGACACTTGAGAGATGCAAGACCTTCAAGTCATGTTTTGATTTAATGGTGACTAAGGCAAATCTGCCACAGGGTTTTCTTGTCAGAATTTGTTCAGGGAGAGGGTCCTTTTGCCTTCCTCTGAGGCTGAGACAGAGTGACTTGTCCAAGGCCATTTAGTGAATTTCCATCACTTAGGGGGGATTTGAACCCTGGACTCAAGAGTCATAGTCTAACACTCAAAGCACTACACCATGCTGGCTCTCTGGACTCTTTTTAGTACTTACATTTCCCCAGCAAGCATGTTCAGGAATTATAGAACAAGTGCGAGTGTCATTTATATGAACTGACTTGTGCGTTCTGTAATTTTGATGTGTATTTAAAGCTTTTTGGGGAATACCATAAAACCAGAGGTGGCTAATCCGGTTGATCCAACATGCTGCTTGCATTCAGACTTAACCTTGGAGTGACACATACTGTATTTAAATTCTGTGGTTTGCTTAGTCCTTTAAGACACATAGTATTTATATCTGGGTAACCAAAGAGAGATAATGAGAGAGAACATGACTGAACTATAGCCAAGTTGGCTATCAAAATAGATACATAGAATAATATATATCAAAGTTGGCAGTATTTTTTAAATTCTTGATAGAGGAAGGGGGCTTAGGGTCGATCCTTGACTTTTAGTAAAACAAGCCTTGACTATAACAAACAGTAAATGAGCATTTGTCAGTGAGATTCAGACTTTCAACACCTTTGTGTCCCAGTTCAGAAAACATTCCTCTGGAGAATCTCAGTGTGTATCTTGCATTAAAATGTTGTTTGGATTTCAGATTTTGAAGTGATTTTTAAAAAATATGACTCGGATCCTTCAGATGTATTAATGCAAGGAGTTCAAACATTGCATTGGAAATCCATTCCCACATGACCTCCCACTTGGGCATTCCTCCCGTGGCTACCATTTCTTGAGGGCAGTTGAGGGGAGCGACACAAAGAGCTCTAGGGCATATCCCTTGGGAAATGTCTAGAGCCCTTCTATCTGGCTGAAGATGCTTTAGATGGGGATCCTTCTAGACCTCAACTTTGTGTAAACGAAGTCCCTTGGTTTGCAGGAGTGTCCTCTGGCCAAGGTCATAATGGACACCACTTGCAGAAAATTTCTTTGATCACTATATAACAGATTTTCCAGCATTGTTGGCCTAATGATTTGTGAAAAGGTCTGTTACTTAGACAGCTTTCTATAACTTTGCCAGTTCTCTCAGTGTCTGGGATCTCCCAGTATGTAATTCTGAGCAGTCCTAATAGAGAAAGTGGCAGATAAGGAAAGACATGGCTAAGATCTTAAGACCACTGTGTTTATGAATGCGCCAGAATGAGGTGGTAACCACCAGAGGTAATTCCTTTTGTGGACAGGATCTTGGAGACATGGTTCTTGGCTGTCCCCTGGCTGAATCCTTTTGTACTTGATGATGCATGCCCCCCTGACTCAAACCCCATGGAGGTATCCTGGTTGCAGGCCATTTTAACACCCATCAATTTCCTTTCCACTAAAATGACTAACTGTTGAGACAGAGAAATGACTAACTATTGAGACAGAATTTTCTGTGGCCAGCAAATTCATGATGCTGCCAACAATTCCTCATAGTTAGAAATGGGGGTGGTGGTAGTGGTGAACTTTTATGCCAGAGGTTGCTCCATTATTGACCATGGCATGCTGGTAACCCCAAAAGCTGTAGGGTAAACTGATTCTTTTTAGTATTCTGGTGGAAAGAATGGCCTGCATTAGTAACAGGAGAGATTTTGGCCTCCTCTCAAGTTGTGGCCACCCTCCAACCCTTCTACAGTTGCTCAACAACCTTTTAGTTTGGGCAGCACCCCCTGTTGACAGCAACTGGGGATGTGCGCAGTGAGCAAATTTTGAAGTCCTTTGTTTTTTAATTTTCTTTTCTCCCTCATTTTGTATGTTTCCATGATTTTGGCTCTGCCTTTCCCTGCCCCCCAAACTCCAGGAGGTACGTACTCCCCATATCCCCTTGCTAGCTTCGCCGGGGGCCAGGGGCGTGCTGCAGTGCTTCTTTATGTTTCCGTTCTCTCTTTATTTTGAATTGCTGGTGATACATTAGTCATTGCCGCTCTTGCTACTGTTGCTGTTTGGCTGCACAGTCCCTGGGGAACGGGTTAAGATGTGGGATGGTTTGGTGGATTGTGGGATGGCGGAACATAGGACAAGATGTAGCCTGCGTGGCACAAGAACCGACCAACAACCAACAAAAGCAAGATGTTCCCAAAGCTATGCCTGCATGGGAAGCAGTGAAGCCCCAGATATTTTGTGGTGAGGGTTCCCATCAACCCTAGCCAGCATAGCTCATAGTGAGGGGTTGTATGAGTTTCCAGCCAAAATATTTTTTAGGGTGTAAACAGTTACCCAGTTCATTTATTTATTTATTTATTTACTCTATTTATATCCCATCTTTCTCTACCCTGAAGGGGATTCAGGGCGGCTTTACATATAGGCAACTATTCAATGCCTTTGAACAACATACAATTAAAATACATTTAAAATTTAAATTAAAGCATGTTAAAATTAAAACATATTAAAACATTGCATTCACTATTAAAATCATGCTATCCAGCCAAAGCATTTCCTTTGGTGACTGAATTAACCATTTACTTTCTACTCATTGAAATATTCATGCTAGAACATTCCCAGAACAAGATCTGTATCTTGATTTGTGCTAGAGAAATAGGAGTTAAGTAGACTACAACATCATTACAGTGAGGTGATTACTCTCAAAGTAGCTTGCTATTGATATGCTGCCCCTTTTTGTAAATGCATAATTTGATAAAGTTCTAATGGAAAGAAAGCTACTACATTTGTGGATTTTTGTTCTTTATGCCTCCACAAAATGCTTACTTTAGGGCCTGCCGAGCCTTTAATTGTCTTTTTGTTACTCCAAAGGGCCCTTTTTCTATGCTGTATTTCAGCCTCAGTGACTGCACAGCTGTCACAAATCCAGCCAGAAGATGTGGCTTTTTCTTTCTCAGGGAGAACAGCTCTACACCAGTACTACAGCCAGCAACTAAGGGCCCTTCCACACAGCCATATAACCCAAAATATCAAGGCAGATAATCCACAATATCTGCTTTGAACTGGGTTATCTGAGTCCACACTACCATGTAACCCAGTTCAAAGAAGATAATGTGGAATTTTATACAACTGTGTGGAAGCGGGCTAAGTTAATTGCAGTTATTCCCCCCCCAGCAAACTATCAGCTATCAAAAGACCATGCAATTGTGCTAGGAGGAGAAACAGTAACAATCAAACAATGCTCACTATAATACTGTTAGGTACATCATGGTACCCACTGGTCTCCAGAGCTTGGAAAAGTTACATTGTGGGAACATAGCTGCCCAAATTCTCCTAGTTGGCATGGCCAGTAATCATGTTGAGTAATGGTGCTCCAAAAAGATAACTTTTCCAGACTTACCCCGTCTCTTTCCAATGCACATATAGAATTTGAATGCCCCTTGAGTTTTTGAGGACTTTTCTTCAGACTTTTCAGCAGCACATAGTGTCTTCAGAGGGCATATACTGACCTGTTCCTAATGTTTTGCACAAAATGATGTTGTAAGAGACTAACCTTGCTACTGAAAGTAGTGATGATGGTTAGTTTCTAAGCAAATGGTTAAAAACTCACATGTGTCCACATTCAGTATCAAGGTTATCTTTTGCACTATCATTATGGCGAAAAGGCAAAGCTAGGCTGAAAGGAAGCAGTGTTCTCTTTGTTGATGCTGATGATTTTGGGCAAGATTTAAATGAAACTGATGTGTGATTGATAGCACCTACAATCCTTATTTTTTTTCCACTCTTCCATGATAATAATAATAATAATAATAATAATAATAATAATAATAATAATAAATTACCTGCCTCACTTGACAGCTCGAGGTTGGGTACAACAAAATCAAATGAAAACATATGAAACAAAACAGGGTTAAACCAGGAAGTCTTCCCCCACCAAAGTTGAAGTTTGCTGATTGGCTTTCAGCTTGAATGAGCACTTTTGGGATTGGGTCCAGAGAGTTATTGTGTTTAGGCTAGATGCTGCTAGATTCTGTGATCAAGTATGTGGATTTGTGTAGTGTTCCAGCCAGATAGACAAACTTTTTAACTTCTAAAACAATTAAATCAAATATAGTGTAAATTATTGTATATCTATAGTATTGTATGATACTTTTAATTAAAATAATGAAACACCAAAGTCACATGCAAAAAGTGCAAAATTAAAACAGAGGGCCCTTCCACACAGCCCTACATCCCAGAATATCAAGGCAGAAATCCCATATTATCTGAGTGCGGACTCAGATAACTCAGTTCAAGGCAGATATTGTGGGATTTTCTGCTTTGATATTCTGGGCTATAAGAATATCAAAGCAGGGCCCAGAGAAGCCCAGTAATTAACTAAAGTCTTCAACTGGAGAAGCCTTGGTCAAAGGTCCTGCATGTTTAACAGAGACGAATACAATATTGATCCTGTTTAACGCGATGCATGCTAATTGTCATTGAATACTCTGGTTCTGGTTGGTGAAGGGAAGGGCCCTGCTTATATGGAAGGTAGATCCCACAGGTGACATCATCAGGTTAAAATACTGGACCAGTTGTTGGCTGATAAAATCTCCATTGTTTCACAGCCATGGTTCCTATCAGTCCATTTATGTAACACTGCAAATCCTCTTATAGTTCTTATCCCTTTTCTTTATCCCCATGATCTTTGCACCAACCCTGTGAAGTAGGTCACTCTTTCCAGTTTGCAGATAAAGTTCTGACCAATGTCATCCAGTAAATCCATGATTGGCAAGGTTCTAGTTTTCTGTAATAATTTCCTGGAGACCATAACCTTCCAGTGTCCTAAAGGTAGTTGCTTACCTTCTGTGTTGTATAAGCAGAAATGCCAGCTATGTATTTTAAAAAAAATCTCAATAACTGGAAAGGCTTAAAAGAAATACTGTATGATTTACAGAAGTTCTTGAGCGTTCTTCCTCTGCCAGGAGTCTCTGCGCCACCAAAAATCATCTTGTACAACCAAATTAAGAACCCTGGATTATCTGATGATTTTTACAGTTAAAGCTCCTCAATGAGTAAAATTCCTTTTGGGTTTCAGAATCATATTTTTGGTTCATGTAGTCTATATAAACCTTGGATTAAAAGAAGTGTAGCAAAATGGTTCCCAGGAGCCATTCCACTGTGTGGGCTCCTAGCAGGCACGTAGGGATCTCCCACTGACCACATAAGGATGCCCGTTCATCAAGACCAGTATTGTGTCTACTCTGAGAAGTATCAACTTTCCAAGGGATTTACATCCCTTCCTTACTTGATCATTCTAGCTGGACATCATAGGAATCAAGCTTGAGGGCCTTGTGCTCTACTGCTGAGCAGAGTAACCTTTTCTGTTCCCAGCAGTGACTCATCTGAGAAGGCTCTTCTTGATTGGCTGAGCAGCCATAAATTGGGCCATTACATGACATCAGGTCCTTGAACAAGTGCGGGTTTCTATGTTCCCTGAGGACTGTGGCATGCACTCTGGAGCCATTGGCTTTTTCTTTTTCGTTCTTGGGTTTTTGCTTCTTTATTTCCATTATTGTGTTGCCTGTGGTTGTATGTTGGCTGTCAACATTTCCCAGGGTGGGTTTGCAGACCTCTGCATCTTTAATCTTTTCTTGGCTCATCTCCATTCACCTGAACTCAAGAGAGTAACTACTCCTGATAGAGGGCACTGAAAACTGTTCCCCTATCTCCACTGCTTCCTGGTTTTGCTTTTCTTTCCAAAATGCAGAGTGTAAAATGTACTGTCTTACAGCCTCAGATTGTGATAGGATCACAATATCTTGTTCTTTAATGGGTTAGACAGTTTTGGTTACCTGGTACACTTTCCATAGACTAATTGTTCACACACTCATACACACAAAGCCTACTGCATTGACTTGGCAGTCACATAATCTCTTACCTGACAGTACCTGAGATCTGGACTATCATGTTGTGTTTGTCATTTTCTGCAGAAGCTTGTACTCTACCTTTATCTTATACTCAAAATTTGCATTTGCCTTTCTCTTGACTTTCTTCTTAAAACTCTTAGTTAACCCTGGGCAGAGAGAGCAGGGTCCACATCAGGAAAGGACAAGAGACCCTCCATTTCTACACATGAGAGGATGAAGGCATCTCCTCTTAATGGATGGCACTTCCAAGTCAATTTCCCCTGCCATAGAGAAAAGAGCTGGATTAGAGAAAGCATGCCTGCAAACATCTTGTTTAGACACAGCAGCCTTTCTCAACTACAGTCCAGTACATCCAGATGGTGCAAAGTTGGAGTAAGCATGGGACATAGACTCTTTCATATGACATAGTTATAACACTACGATTCCATTTCAACAATATGATGGGAAATCCTGGAGTTTACCGTTTACGGGGGGCAATTCTAAATTCTCAGGCGACATTGTTCTAGTGCATCCTCCAACCACCAATCCCAGGATTTGGTAGGAAGCAGCCATACAAATCAAAATATTATCAAAGTGTATAATTGTTTTGTGTGAAAGAGATCAACTTGCAGACTGTAATTGTATACCTGCTTGGTAGCTTATCTCCTTTTTCCTGGGATGTAGCTTCTCATACCTGAGGGCCACATTTTCTTGAAAACTACACTGAAACAGGATGGGGACATCTCTCTTCATCCTTGGCATATTGGTTAGCTCTCTTTGTGTCCTAGGATGGTAAACATTGGGAAAGACTATTCTTGGTGACTACAAGCAAGTACCAAAAAGACAGTGGGAGAAGAAAGGGACCTGTTTGAAATTGCTGCCAATGTTTTGGAGAAATTCATTGCTTTCTCTCTTATATCTCCTTTTAAAACAGTAGGGATCAACTTTGAGCCAATTTAGAACCAAGCAAAATTCTATGGGTGGGAGTGGAATGGTGTCTGATTTCTTTGCAATGCTGGCAAGGATGACAACTTTGCTCACGGTGAGCCTAAGCATATTGCAAAGCCTGTGAGGAAAGCAGTGACCATTCCTCAGTGACACACAGTAGGGCACTCCCTTCTCAACAACTGGCCGCCACCATAAACACCCCTCACCAGCTGTTGTCTTCACTATATAGCCACCTGCTACTTTGGTATGGGGCTGGCACTGCTTGCGCTCTTGACACCACTCACTCTGATGCTGCCTGTTTGTGCCCATAGCCTCTAGCATTGCCTTTGCCTTAGCTGCTCTTGCACCCAGGGCCAATGTTTAGGTCTGGGCAAGTGTTGTCAAGCTTGCTTCTTCATTGTGTAGGTGGCCGAGTGAAGACGTGGAAACGACGCTGGTTCATCTTGACAGACAACTGCCTTTACTACTTTGAGTACACCACGGTGAGTGACACAGGGTACTCTAGCAATTGTGCTCATGCCCCCAAATCATTTAACAAAGTTGCTGTCAGTCTGTTTTGACTTTTTTTAATCTAAATCGAATGATTTGGAGAAACTTCTTATATCTAGAATGGGAGGCTCTGGATGGAACAACAGATTTAGATGACTGATTGCTATGGTTTTTTGGCAATTTTTTTGTAGAGCCAAAGGATGCCATAATAAATCTATTAGTTTTTAAGGTGCCTCTAGTCTCTTTGATGTGTTCACTACAATGGACTGATGTGGCCAGTGCCACCCTGCTAGAATTAACTTCTGTGATTAATCTTTCTGAAAGGGAATATCTTCTCACTGTTCCGCTTTGGGCTGGAGAAGTATGTGATATTTATTAGAATTAATATGCTAAGCTGTTGCTGAATCTGTGAGTGATCCTCTTTCAGGACAAGGAACCAAGAGGCATCATCCCACTAGAAAATCTGAGTATCCGAGAGGTGGAGGATTCTAAGAAGCCGGTGAGTAAATACAGATGTCAGAGGATTCTCTGTGAGTGGGTGGAGTAAGAACCATTGTTTTGTGTGCTTTTTTGCTTGTAAAACTTGAAAAAATGTGTGGGAAAACTAGTCAACGCTCAGAACATTCAGGTACCCTGATACCTCTTTCCCATGACGACAAAAGTAATATAAAGTGAGCATCTTTGCACAACTTGGCTTTTCTTAGTTACTCTGCTTACGTTCTCTCTTATCTTTACTACCTTAAAGGAAATATAATTAATGAAACGTAGTTGAGTGCAAATTGTTGCTCACCAGCCCATGTAACTCTCCCCATACCCATTTTTATTTAAAAAATAATGTAGTGTCTTCATTGTCCTGCATCCTAGATGTAGTAGAGGAATTTTGCCTGTATTTGGGTAACCCTTTTGAAAAACTAGAGATGATATTTGTAGACTGCATGACAATTCCTGTTTAGAAAAAAAAGTGGATCCATAAAACCTGACACGGCCCTTCAAAGGAGCATATTTTTAATGTTTTCTTTAAAAACCTGAGTGGATATCTGAGAAATGCAGTTTCCTAGGTTGAGCGAAAGGCGTGGGTAACCCCTGGACCTGGTGCAAAATAGATGCTAGATTTCTACAGGTGGCAGTGAGTTTTGCATAGAATATTGTTCATATTTACATGGAGTAAATGCAGAACAGAAATGTCAGTTCCACATTATCTGTTACCGTATTTGGATGATCGTATCTTGCAATATTAAGCCGGCAGATGAATGGGCTTTTTGCTCATATGAACAACCCTTTTGTTTATGCTAGATCAAATTAGAAAGCTGCTAAACATAGTTTCCTGGTTTGAATGAAAATAGGAACTATAGTTACTAATCCAGAACAAACCAGGATATTAAAACTTCAAACTATATTTTGATATCTTGTCTTGTTTGGGATTGTTTAACCATGGTTTCACAATTTGGATGAAACTGAAAACAATGATTAATTGTACATTTACTTGTTTTACCTGCCTGTATATGTGGGTCCTGAGGAATTGCATTATTGCAGCAGAATCCCTGTGACCATAACTAGCAATGTCTTTAAAATCCCTGTAATTCACATCATTTTGAAGAAGTGTGTTCACCAGTCCTCTTCCCTTCCTGCAGAACTGTTTTGAGCTGTATATACCTGATAACAAAGACCAGGTGATCAAAGCCTGTAAGACTGAGGCAGATGGCCGTGTAGTGGAAGGGAACCACACTGTGTACCGCATCTCAGCACCCACTCCAGAGGAGAAGGAAGAATGGATCAAGTGCATCAAGTGAGTGTGGGAGAGGCAAGAAAGGGGGAAAAAGGGGTGGAATGGAGGAATCTGGGGAGTTTGCAAGAGTTTGGTATAACAAGAAGTGACAAAATGCCTGGCGGAAGCAGGAAGAATATGCATTCCTCTGCCTCCTGGCTGAATGAGAAAGGTAAGACAACAGTAGAAAATGAAACGTCTTCTAACTACCTAGTTAATCTTTGTCAGTTATGTTGAGGGATTAGGAGATATGCTTGAACTGAGAGGGAAAATGAAGGGGAGGGGGGCTTTAGTGTAATACATGATACAGCCAACCAATTCCTCTGCTCCCTTTAGTTAAGTCACTCCCTACTGTACCCTTATAGTCATTTGAGCATTAATTGCAGAGCATTTCTGTTCAGTTTGGGATTTTTCCTAATGTTGTTTGCTTTATTGCTTTCTTCTTCCCCACTCCCTCCAGAGCCGCCATTAGCCGGGACCCATTCTATGAGATGCTGGCTGCACGCAAGAAAAAGGTCTCCTCCACCAAGAGACATTAGTTTCCTGGCTTGCTCCATCAGCTGCAGTGTTGGCAGGGCAGCCTCCCAGACTGGGAGACATGAGGAACTACACTGAATTGCCTGCTCTGTATTGCTACCCTGAGGGGACTAGCTTCAGCTTTTGCTATTCTTTTCTTGTTTGGGTGCAGGAAGAGTTGGGAGGTATGGCAGCCACGAATCTTTAGTTGTGAGAATGCCATTTCTCTGATTTCAACTAGGCGATTTGTAGCAACTACATCCTTAGTAGCCCAAGTGGCAGAAGGAGAAGGTTGTTGAGGTCTTTCCTACCCACTGCAGTTAATTTATTCACTTGCCCAAACTGATGGAGAGAGAGAGCTTCAAGCTGTGTGTACCCCAAAGGGTACCCCTTTGATTTACCATTGGGAAGTGTGAGTTGTGCCAGGCCTTACAATGATACTCTTTGAGACCAGAACCTGATATGGGCCATGGACTGCCAAAGGCATAGATTAGTTTGCACCCCAGTGGAGGATAAGACTCTGCCTTCAAAGCATAGAGTTTCTCATGGCAATTGGTCTTGGCACGATTCCTTGTTCTTTGGTCAGGCAGGCTGGATGGTTTCCTCCTCCAGACCAATTGAGTCATGCACATTTAATGGGGGGGGGGGGGACGACTCTTAACATTTTTTAGATTAATCATATTGGGCAATGCACAGGCAGGAATGTCAGCCCCAAACAGCTGGCATGGGTGAATGCTGTGAGGCTGCCAGTCTCCCGTATTTGCACTGCCTTCGTTTTAGAGGGCATCTGTTTAGGCTGCCTCTGATGCTTTGGCAGGGTGAAGTCAGCAGGGGGCTCACTTAAGCCACTGTGCCATCATGAGAAGGCCGTGATGGTGTCAGCCAGTGGGTATGCATGCAGTTTGGGGTAGGGCTGGTGACATACCTTTGTTGGTGCTTTATATTTGCTTTGGCCAACAGTTGCTGGTTCCCCATCACACTCAGCAGTTTGGCAGGATATTATTCCTGCAGTAGCTCATACTGCAGCCCTGTTTGTGTCTGAACTCATGAGGAACTGTAGATGCAGGAACAAGCAGAAAAGAAGAGACCTACACCATCACATGCTGTGTACTGCAGAAAGCAGTGTTACAAGCCTGATTCTAGTTTTTCTAGTAGCATATGCTTCCAGTTGCACTTTCAGTAAGGATGGGTCTGGTGGCTTAAGATGGAGGCTGCCCTGGACCAGTGAGAGGCAGTAGATCGTAGTTCTGAAGCACAAGCAGGTGGTTGTTGGCTGGGGAACTATTGGAAGACCTGGGGTGGGGAGAGAGTTTTTTGCGGGTGGAGATGCTGGCCTTTATTTGAAACATGGAGGCAATGGGGATGGGGAGGTGAACCATAAGATAGCTTCCTTCCCTTGTAAAAGCCTGTGGCGTGTTAGCTCATTGTGCACCTTTTTGGCAAGTTCCAGTTCTCCATCTCAGTATTAGCCTATTTATCTGAGGTGTACATACTCTCTGTATATATTTTCTCCTCATAGATTATTTTGTATTTGTTTTAAATATGAAGATTGTTTTTTGTGAAACTTAACAGGATTCTCAAACATTGCTGAGACACAAGGGGCATGTGGGAGGAGGGGAGAAGTTTCTTCAGGTCAGACAGTTTGGTTACAGTTTGTTTTGATTCCTTTCTTCGTCTTCCTTTTTGGGTTTTGTTTTGTTTCACCACAACCTTGTGTTCTAGCACAGAGCAACTGCGGTAAATAAAAGTTGATCTTACAGTTGGCTTGAAACTCACCTTTGACTGTCTCATTTCTTCTGGCCTACTGTTATTTGTGCATTTTCTACATGGAAGAAACTGATTAGAAACCATCTCTCCCCCTGTATACCCACATAAAAGAGGTATAAGGATTATGACTATAACTTCACTCCACTTTTGGCACAATTTTGTTTTTGTTCCATAATTCCAAGAATGTAGCTTCACCAAACCATGGAGAAAGACTTTCACTTGAGTCAAGTCTTAACTGATCCTGGTGTCTCACCTGGCAGCTTCATACCCATTTGTGGAGGTTGAGGTGACAATAAGATGGACAGGAAGAAAGTATGTGTTTTATGTCACACTTGTATTATTCAGATGTATGTAGAAGAAGAAGAAGTTTATTTTTCTACCCCGCCTCCATCTCCCCGAAGGGACTCGGGGCAGCTTACATGGGGCCAAGCCCAGGGAAACATACAATTAAAAGCAGAGCAATAACAAAATGCAATTTAAAAACATAAAGCAAACAAAACAATAATAGACAAGCATCAAGCAACAAAAGAACTAAGGCAGGGGAGGCCAAAAATACGAGCTGATTAAAGAGTAATTGATTCAACAAGGTGGATGAAAATATATAATAGCATAGGAAATATCATTAAAACAGAGCAATCTAACAGGATCAGAAACAATTCAGTATGACTTATAAAATCTGAATAGTAATGTAATATAGGAAATCCAGCTTGAATGATAATTAGGTTGCAATACCGGTCGTATGTCATGGGGGGTCGTCAGTCAAATGCACAACGAATATGTACAGTATTTAAAGTAACTAAAGGGTAAAAAAAACCTTAGTTTCAAGAAATTGATGGTTTAAAGTTGCCTTTAAAATTGCAACTGCTATGTTAAGTAACAAGAGTGCAGGATCCTTACGATTTCAATTAATTACTTTTTAGAATAAACTATCAATGTTTCAATTACCTGTTTGGAAATAGCAAAGAATTGTGCAATTGTGACCTTGCTGGTTGGTGGCTAGCTAATGTCAACTTTACCTGGATAAGTTCTTTGGATCTGCAAGGTGGGTACATTATTGTAGCTAAACTGAGCCAGATTCAGAGGATTAAATAATTAGCTATTGTGGTTACTAGAAGTTAAAAGTAAATGCAAATCTAGGTTGAGCTTTGGAGAAGACATTGCTAGATTCAGGGTAAATTAGGAGGGATATACATTAAAGTCCACATTTAGTGATTTGCACATCTTAATAAATCTGTTTTCTTCCATGCAAATGATGTATCTTCCTTTAAAATGGTAACCTGTGAGCACCTTTACGCTGCTTCATATCTTCCCACTATTAGCCACGATGTTGTATTATCTGTTTAATTAGTGGTTGAAATCCCTCCTCCTGCTAGTGAAGTATAAATTTCTGCCAATACACTTTTAACAGTAGGCATTGTGCCCAGCTGCTTCCTATAGTGCCCACAACTACTGGGGAAACTTAATCTCCCTATAGGAATGAGCCTGGGATCAATGTCACTGCTTTTAGAGCAACAAGGCATTAGATGCCTCCTGTAAGTATATATGAAACTCATAATTCCTGTTGTCACCAATAGAATCCCAGTCTTTTTCTGCCTATATCTGGCCTTTCCCTTCAAAGCTCACATTTTGTTTATTTTCAAAGGGACAGCTGCAATACTCTTGTTCTTTGTTCAACGTTTTTTCTGGACCAATACTGAAAAATAGGCACCATTGTTGTCCTAGATCAGTAGTAGTGTAATTGTTAAGGCTTTACAACAATTAAATGGCATGGGCATTCACTAAAAAATAGAAACCATAAATGCAAGATAATTGCTCAGTTGAGCAAAAGAAGAACGTTACTAGTTCTGCCTATGGGCAACCATTTTTAGTCTGATTTTCCAGCTGTGCACACCACAGTGTTGTAGACAGGAAGTCAAAGCAAGGAATGTGTCACTTTTCAGAAGGATGCAGTGTGTGGTTAGATCAGTGGTTAGATCAGTGGTTCCCAACCTGTGGTCCATGGACCACCAGTAGTCCACAAGAACTAAAATATGGTCCACGGCCTCACCATTACTATACCGTTGTAACCAGAGTGACTGGTCTCACTAAGTCCTCTTATAGTGCCAAGGCAATAGGGATGTCGGAAAAACAGAGGCTGACTACCCATGAAAGGCATGACAACAAGCCTCCTGACTGCTGGTTCTCCTCCTCCCTCCCTCCCTCCCCCCCCCCTTGAGCAGAGCCGTTCCATGTGGCACCTGGAAGCGGGTGTGTCTTGATGGCTTCATTTTTAGGCCTGTTCCTGGGGTTATTTGGGTTGCTGATTCAGAAAATTGCATTGGATAGACCACATCAGCTCTAGATTATTAAATATGGTTTTCTATGGGCAAGCAGATGGTGACAACTGGATGGCATATATTCTGAATTGATATGGTCTATCCATGCAATTTTCTGAATCAGCATCCCAAATAACCAACTTAATCTAAATTTGACCAAAAACTGATTCGTAACCCTTTTGGGACTAATGTTGGAAAGTGGTCCCTGGTCAAAAAAGATTGGGAACCACTAGGTTAGATGTTTATGCCCAAAGATTTCCCATGTATCTGATATACTCCAGATTTATTTCAGATGTACACAGATTGGAATAACCTGGATAGTCAAAGCCTGTGTTGAGAATCAAGAGCAGAGGAGGTCAAAATTCTCTACTGAATTCATACATGTGCAGAGAAAAATAAATCATGAGAATGTTGATTTGGGAAGTTCTAACTCTTGTGGCAGGGCTGAGAACTCTGGCAGTTCCATTTTCCAGGCATTCGGTCTTTAAAATTATTATTATTTAAAGACATTCATTGCCAGATTTACCTACACTTTGCAAAACTGAAATCACAATGTGGCTTTTTAAAGTATGTAAGTGAAATATTAGAGATTCAAGATTTGGCACTAAAGCTATAGCACTTCATTATCTTCCTTCACTTCCCCCACCTCCCAGTTGGTCTGAAACTTATTTAATAAAACTTTGTTTCATTTTAAAGTAGGTAAGATGGAGGTAAGTGTTAACTAATAGCATTGTCTTCTCAAAACAATTATTTGCTGATTCTGCAGAAATGAATTTTCTATGTAGGAGATTTGTATATTGCCTTTGAGCAAAACTGAAGAAGAACATCTGAGTTACTGCTTAAAATCATCAACCAGGTGAGGTGGGAGATGCTGGCTAACTTTGCTGCTAGCGAACTAGCTTTATTGCTGCATAACTGGACTCCTAGCTAAAGGCAAGTTTTTTGAAATCTTAGATGTTTAAATACTGGGCCATAAAACAGGATTGGGTTGCTACTTTTAGTATTTCTCACCATTGACTATGCTGGCTAGGGTTTATGGGAGTTGCAGTTCAAAAACAAGTGGAGAGCTGCACTTTGCTTTAAGAGGTACTTCTTCAGAAATGTGGTTCAATTTTTGAATCTCAGGACTGCCCTGAGTAATGGCCAGGAGATGGTAGCAGTGTGACAGCTTTGGTTTAGGACACAAAAGAAAACTAATTTCAACAAGGTGATACCTTGTCTAGGAATAATCATCAGTCTGATTTGCCAGACTCTTTTTCTTTTGAGTCCTGTGGTTTTAGAGTTCAAATCCCTGCTTGGTCATGGAAACCCACTTGGTGACCTTAGACCAGTCACACTCATTCAACCTCAGACGGAGTCAAAAGCAAACCGCTTTGAACAAATCTTGGCAAGAAAACCCAATGATAGGTTCTCATTAGGGCTGTCATAAGTTGGAAACAACTTGAGGGCACACAAATTCAATACTACTGTTCAGAATTTTTGCAAAAAAATTCTTTAGTATCTATGGTTACTCCCTTCTGCTCTTAGCAGTGACATGTAGAAAATTTAGATGAGCGTTAGTTTGATATCTATGGTGGCGATAGGACTGGGAGAGGTAACTCATTTTAGTCTGATATTAATTTAAAAAGCACAACTAGGTTCTAAGCATGTCCGTTTATCATGTAACTAAGCTGAAAGCTTGGGATCACTTAACTAACTGCCAGCACCTTTGATCTTGATGCATCTGAGATTTCTCATTTCTCTGTTGCTGATAATGTTAAGGAAGTAGCAGCTTTAGTCACAGTTGCTGTGGATGGGAGAGACTTTAGTCCCTAAAAGATTTATCTGTGGCTGTGGGTTCTATGCCACATTCAACCACAATGAGGTCTTCACCATCCAAAACAATTCTATCAAACATGATCTCAGAGATGTAATGGAGGATGCCTCCTCACTGCCACATAATACTACTTCTACAAAAAATTCCTCTTGAGTTCAATCATCTTGTTTTCTGACTTGTATCATTTCTCCCCTAGCAATTCTATCTGTAGATCTTAGTGAGCAGGGTGGGAAAAAAGCCCCTCCATCTGCATACTGAAATAGGACAGGGAAGGTGAAATAAGGAGAGCAGCTGACCCATTACACAGTGTGGAACATCTTGCAGAAATAGAATGGGATGTAATAATGACATTTTAGACCAGTATGGTGTAGTGGTATGACCATTGGATTATGATTCTGGAGACCAGGGTTCGATTCCCTGCTCAGACACAGAAACCTACTGGGTGACGGTGGACACATTACACACTCTTAGTCCCATGATAGGTTCACCGTAGGGTCAGAAATGAGTTGAAGGCACATATCAATCAATGTGAAGCCATGCCTTTTAGTTCATACTCTGAAATTAAGTATCTGATCATCCAATTAAGAGGCCACATTCTTGATCTGTTTTTACATTTTTTTTGTCCAGGATTAGGGTGATCAATAGGTAGGGGAGTCTGAAGAATTCTGTTTTCATGGATAGATCACTACCTAATACGGTTTAGATGTATTGCTGCAATTCCCCGTCTTGGCAGGGATGGGTAAACTCTGTAATGGTCTGAGACCTTTAGAGCGAAAGGATTCCTATGAATTCTCCAAGGGATTTTCCAGTGGCTAGAGCTGATAATTCTGTTGATACTCTAGTTGATCTGTGGAACAAAGAGATGATCCCTGGCAAT